CTGTCCTAGCTCAGCTTCCTCAGATGAGTGAGTGGGAACTGAACATACAGAATGACCAGCAAAGCCCCAGAGTCGCAAGGTGGGGAGAAGCAGGATGCATGCCCAGAACTTGGCCTCTGGGTCCCCTTCCTGACAGGCACCCAGAAGTCTCGCACCCTGGGTGGAGGCTGTGCACACTGCAGGGGAAAGGCCACTCTTTTTTCTTGTCCTGCTGGGACATTTCAACGCTGCAGTGTCCTCCTGGGATGACACCCATGTTTCCATAATCCTGCCCTGCCATGTTCCATATGCTGGTGGTACAGGCTCTTCGGCAGTACTCCAGCTCCCCTCTCTTCCAGTGGATCCCTGCAGGACTTGAGACGGAGATAGCAGCAGGAGCTCTCAGAGTTCCTAGGCATCTGCATACCTCCATGTGGAATGTTCACCAGAGCTAGCATTCCTGCAAAGAGGCTGTTTCCTGCCCCTCGCATTTCCCTTTCAGCACAAAAACTCGATTTATTTTTATGCCTAAGAATAAAATTCCTGTAAAGCTGTGGTCCACTTTTGCATAACTTTGAACACAAACCAGTGGCCTTTCTTGCAGGAGCTTCCATCTTTCAAGGTTGGTTGACCAAGGTGGGCGTCTGGGTCACACACATGGATTTTTATAGCTCTGTCCCTCACTGAAAAGCCCTTGAACCAAGTATCCATGCCATTCAGCAACTCTTTGACTCCTGCTCCCTGGCTGTGAGCTGCTGAGCTGTACATGCAAGGCCCATATACTGGAGAGACACGGGGAGGGTTCACCAAAGACTGATAGGGACTGGGTGGACAGTTCTAGAAGTATTCCCCACTGTTAGAGTCCAACAGTGGGTTCCACGGATGGGGCATAAGAGAGACAGATAGGCCTGTGTGCCCTTTCCCCCAGGCTGTGCAGAGAAGAGTTGAAGAGGTGTAGCCTCGGCATTTGGATCGCTGTGCTTAGCAGCTCTCTGCTGGTTAGTTCTGCCAGCTTGACACAGCCTAGATCCTCTTGGAAGTAAGTCCCAGTGAGGTGTTGTCTAAATCAGGTCGGCCTGTGGCATGTCCGTAGGGGATCGTCTTGTTTGTTCCTTAAGATGAGAAGATTTATTCACCCTGAACATGGGTGGCACCAGAGGTGGGCCCTGAACTGTGTAAGGGCGACAAAGACCGTCAGCTAGGCAGAAGTGCCCCTGGGGCAAGCGGCACCTGTGCTTTCCCCTCGGCTCTTTTGTTTTGGGGTGTGGTGGTGGTTTGAGACAGGATTTCTCTTTGTAGCCCAGGCTGTCCTGGAACTTGCTCTGTAGATCAGGCTGGCCTTGAACTCACGGAGTTCTTCATGCCTCTGTTCCTCTCTGCTCCTGACCGTGGATGTGATGTGAAGAGCTGTTCCAGGTTCCTGCTTTGGCATTTCTCATGACTGTGACCTGGAATCTGAGCAAGCCTTTCCTCCCCTAAGCTGATTTGAGTTGTGGTGTTTTCGTACAGCAGAAAGGGCACTAGGACAAACCCTACAGGGTAATTGAGTTTCATTGTTCTACGGGATTCTGCAAAACTTTCCCTAAAACAGCCTCACACAGAAACTGTCCCAGGGCCCTACAGCACTGGCTCTTAGTCTGGGCCATGGTGCCAGAGTGACTCAGAAGCAGAGGAGCAGGGGTACCCCTAGAGTTTAGCATATTGCACCCCAAGCTCTACATTCCCGACAGTTCTCAGGAATATTAATCTAGACCTCAGAGCATCTACATACTCTTCACCTTCAAATCTTATGGTTTCTATGAAAGCTGTCAGGAAATCACCCAGAGGCATTTTCTGCTGCCATCCTACCTTAGCTTCTCTCAGTGCAGGATGAAGGGTCACTGTTTTTCCTCCAGGTATTAGGAAGAACTTCATTTCTTTAGGCAGACAGGGGCCAAGTACAATCAGGTTTAGGATTCTACAAAGATCATCTAGAATTCAAGCAATGGCTTCACACTTAAGAGCGTTTACTGCTCTTTCAATAGACCCGTGTTGGCATGTCAGGAAGGAACATGTTAGGTGGCCCACAGCCCCTGTAACACTAGATCCAGGGGAATACAATGCCCTCTTCTGGCCATTGAGAGCAACTGCATTCATGTGCACATACCCCTGCATAGACACACATGAATAAATACACACAGTTAAGAATAAAAGTAGATCTTAATAAAAAAGGATCACCTACTGTTTTTCCCCTTATTCACACTTGCAGATAAAAATTTGTTTCAGCCACATTAAAGGAAAACACCAGTCTTGATGTTTAGGAAAAAAAAGTTCATTCCTTCATCCTTCCAAACAAGGTACAATACAACTGAGTAACAATACACATTTCTGAAAACCATAACAGTGTCTTATATTCCTCACTGCTCTTTAAGTATAATTCAGATATTAAGGAAAAAGCTTCTAATCACATTAATACATTACAGAAACCAAAATTAACTTACCACATAAAATAAATTAAAACATTACATATTAACCTTCAGTGCATCATATACAGAAGTCAGAATGATGAGTTCTAAGACAGCATCAGGTTCCTTATAATAAAGTTACTACACTACGGAGAGGAGTTGCTGTTCGGTTCTCTATGTAATCATGTGCACGAGTGTGTGCAACACTATGTCTTTGAGACAGATAAATGGCCTCAGGGAATAGATCTTACCCCAGAACATTAAAAACAAACGTAAGTCAGGCATGGTGGCACACACCTGTAACCCAGGAGGCTGAGGCAGGAGAATCATGGGTTTGAGGCTGGCTTGGGCTACAGAGTGAAACCCTGTGTCAAAAACTGTATATGTTGTTTAGTATGGCCTCCCCTTGGTCCTGGGAGGGACAAGCTTAGAACTCACCACAGGACTGGGCCTGTAGGCAGGGTTAGAATGTTGCTGGTTCATTCAGTGGCTCACAGGCACAGGAAAGCTGACCTGTGGACCCCAGATGACTTTGTGTACTTGGGAACAACCCACAACCCAGGCCTCAGAGCCACAGCCTCGTCCCTCACCAGTGTGCATGTTTAGGACCAATCTTGACTCCTGCCCCTTTTTTGGGGGTGGGTGGGAGAAAATGGACCTTGGAACGATTGGTCCCACCTTTTTCTAGGACACATGACAAACTGACTCATGGCTTGATTCTATATTTGCCCATCTGGAATCTATCTTTCAGGCTGGAGTTGCTACTGTATGTTTCCATGGAGAAAACATGTCCTATGGTGTCTTCAAAGTTACAACTAGAGGTGTGGTGGCCTTTCTAAAATTCATTTTTATTTTTAAAAATTAGTGAGTGTGTGTGTGTTCTCTCCTTCCACCATGTGGGTCCCAGGGATTGAATTCAGGTCCTCAGGGTTGTTGGCAAATGCTTTTACTCTTGGTGCCATCTTGATGTCCCTGGAATTAATTTTAATTCATTTTGTGGGGCTGTTCATTGTCCCTTGAGTCACTGAAAAACTGTGTTGGCCACTGTCCTGTGTGGCTGCTGAGAATCACTCCTTATTTATAGCTGTGTTGAACATCAAGAGGGAGTCAGGAAGTACAGTGTGAACTATCAGGAAGGTGCTGTGGGGAGCACGATGTGAACTGGCAGGAGGATGCTGTGGGGAGCACAGTGTGAAATGACAGGAGGGTGCTATGGGGAGCACAGTGTGAACTGACAGAAGGGTGCTG